GAGAGAGAGAGAGAGAGAGAGAGAAGCAAATATAGAATGAGCTAGGCGCAACGGCTCACGCCTGTAATAGCAGCAGTGTGGGTGGCCGAGGCAGGCAGGTTGCTTGAGAACAGGAGTTGGAGACCGGCCCGGGCAACGTGATAGAACCTCGAACCCCATGTCACGTAGGTGCGTACATACATACATACATACATACATACATACATACGTACGGAAAGCATGAGAAACAATATAAAAGTTAACCGGTGTGGTGGTGCGTGCCTGTAGTCCCACGTAAGCAAGTAAGAAAGTATGTAAGGAAGTAAACACGTTTAACGTAAAACTAAGTGAAAAAAGAAGTGAGGGGCTGGGCACGGTGGCTCACGCCTGTAATCCCAACACTTTGTGAGGCCGAGGCGGGTGGATCATGAGGTCAGGAGTGCCCGACCAGGCTGGGCAAGGTAGTGAAACCCTGCCTGTGGTCAAAATCCAAAGAAAATTAGTCAGGCGTGGTGGCAGACGCCTGTAATCCCGGCTACTTGGGAGACCGAGGCAGGGAATTGCTTGAGCCCGGGAGGTGGAGTTCGCAGTGAGTCGAGATCGCGCCACTGCACTTCAGCCTGGGAGACAGAGCAAGACTCCATCTCACCAAAAAAAAAAAAAAAAAAAAAAAGAAAAAGAGAAAAAAAAAGAAGAGACACAAAGCAAAATCAAAAAACAAAACAAAAAAACAAGCAAGCAAGCAAGCAAGCAAGCAAGCAAGCAAGCAAAGGATGAACATGACAATGACATAGAAGTAATAACCCATGAGAAAAACAAGTAAATAAGAGGGCATGAGTAACGCTACAGGGCAATTAAGATCACAATGCATTTTCTCTCTGCACCCCAGCTCCCGTCACCTCAGCTGGAGTGGAGGTGCGCGATCACAGCTCGCGTTCGCCTCCAGCTCCCGGGGTTAAGAGATCCCTGTAGTCCCAGCTTCTCTCTCTCTCCCCCACCCCCTCCCTCCCTCTCTCCCTCTCTCTCTCTCTCTCCCCCTCTCTCTCTCTCTCTCACACGCGCGCGCACACACGCACGCACGCGCACACACACACACCCCCCCACACACTTTCCACATCTAGTTCACAAACCACGCTAATTGACCCCCTCAATAGTATGCAGGCTGAATAAACCACACCCCCCCCTCCCTCCACCCAGCGCTGAAACCCCTTCTCTACCATTTATTAACAAGATTATCTGGGTTGGGTCAGGCACGGTGGCTCATGCCTGTAATTCCAGCATCGGGAGGCCGCAGCGGGCGAGATCACTTGAGGCCAGGAGTTCCAGGCCAGGCTGGCCAACGTGGTGAAACCCGGTCTCTATGAAAAGTGTTAGCGATTAGCCAGGCCTCCCCTGGCGCGAGCCTTGTAATCCCTGACTACTCGGGACACGAGGCGACTTGTAGCCTGAACCGGGAGGCCGAGGTTGCAGTGAGCCGAGATCGTGCCAGCCTGAACCGGGGAGGCCGAGGTTGCAGTGAGCCGAGATCGTGCCATGACAATCCAGCCTGGGTGACGGAGCGAGACTCTGTCCCAAAATAATAATAATAAGGAAGGAGACCACTACTACTCCTGCTGCCCTCCTCCCCGCACCTCGCCTACTTCACAAGACAAGAGGAAAGACAGAAAGCAGAAAGTTAGAAAGGAACTAAAGTAAGATAAATGGCCAGACACCCTTGGTGCCACCACACGGCCCTAGGAGATTTAAAAACAACAACAAAAAAAAAAAACGAAAGGAAAAGAAGAAGTAATAATAATAACATCGACCCCCGACCTGAACTACTTCTGTTATCTGTGAATTCCAGACACCAGACACCGTATGAAAAAAGCCCTGTAAAACTTTTTGTTCTGTTAGCTGATGCAGGTAGCCCCCGGTCACGTTTCCCACGCTTGCTCGATTTATCACGACCCTTTCACGTGCAACCCTTGAAGTTGTAAGCCTTTACAAAAGTCTTTTTCGGGGAGCTCGGCTCCTAAGATGCGAGTCTGCCGACGTTCCCGGCCGAATGAAAAACCTCTTCCTTCTTTCATCCGGTGCCTCAGGAGTTTTGTCTGCGGCTTGTCCTGCTACATTTCTGGGTTCCCTCACCGGGAAGCCAGGTGGTGATGCACGGAGGGTCGAGGCAGCCCCTTAGGCAGCTTATGCCTGCCCTGTAGAGCATCCCTGCGGGGGACTCTGCCCAGCTTGAGCGATGCGGATCCTCAAGAGTGCTGCCGGGCGGGCATCTGCCCCGGTGCAATGCCTCGCCTCGAAACAGCAGGGCACAGCAGGCCCCCGTGGAGGATCGGCACAGTGGCTGGACACTGGGAAGGAACTGGCACTTTAAGTCCGGACGTGTGAAACTTGCTGAGACTGCTCTTTGGAACTTCCCCCACTCCATTTGAGTGGAAGCGTGGCCTGATCACCCACGGCGTACCTGTACCGGCACTTTGGTTTTCGTTTCTGGCTTGACTTCAATTCATTGGTTGATACTTCGGTTTCGCTTTCGATTTTGACTTGACTTGAATTGCTGGATAAACAGGCCTGCCTTTATTGCCACTTTGGTCTTGCTCCTGATTTTGGTTTGGCTTACATTGCTGGACGAACGGGTGTGCCTATAACAACACTTTGGTTTTAGCTTTGATTTCGATGTAGTGTCAATTACGTGACTGAGTGACCTTCTACCCTTTCCCTCTCGTAGGGTGAATGTTGTTCCGTCTCGAGGAAAAAAATGAGCCAGACACAAAGTAAGCCCGCTCCGCTAGGAACCCTGTTAAAAACATTTCAAAAAGAAAAATAAAGAGAAGTCATCAAATACGTCACAACTTACTCTTACTAAAATGCCGTTACAGAACCTTACAAAAGGTTTACAGGAGATTATAGAGTTCAGTTAACCCTAGAGTTACGAACTCACTGGGAGAATTAAGTACCCTCTTCTGCTGTTGGATGGCCCACGGAAGGAACTATAGACAGAGAACAATTGTGCGTGCAAGTTCCAGGTGGTGGCCAGTCGGAGGACAGCCAGCGTACTAGATCAAGATTCCTTTATATTGACCCATGGCAGAAATGAATTATAGACAAAGCCGGCGTTAATTTTAGCCCTGTTTAACAACTGTGTACCACAAAATCGCCAAAGTAAAAGTAAGAGCAGCTTCGCCCAGCAGACACGGACTTTAAAGGGAGTCCCAGGAAACCTCCGCTAGGAACCCTGTTAAAAACATTTCAAAAAGAAAAATAAAAGGAAAGTCATCAAATCGTCACCACTTACTCTACTAAAATGCACATTACAGAACCTTACAAAAGGTTTTGCAGGAGATTATAGAGTTCAGTTAACCCCCTAGAGGTTATGAACCCTGGGAGAATTAGAATTGCCCTCTTCTGCTGTTGGATGGCCCACGGAAGGAACTATAGACAGAGAACAATTGGCCGTGTAGTTCAGGTGGTGACAGAGTCGGAGGACAGCCAGTGTACCTAGGTCAAATTCCTTTATATTGACTCATGGCGAAATAGAATATAGACAAAGCTGGCATTAATTTAGCCCTGTTTAACAACTTTGTGCAAAATAGCCAAAAGTAAAAGTAAGAGCAGCTTCGCCAGCAGACACGGACTTTAAAAAGGGACTCCCAGGAAACAGCAAGAGAAGTCAGTTTTACGGGAGCCGCGAGAGATAACACACATTCTTTCTCCATGTATCCCAGCCTACCCCGCTTCACCGAGGCCAACAACCCCCTCAGAAATGAGATTCAGGAGCTGACACGCCCCAGGTCTCACCTTGAAGGGAAGGATCAGAGCCTCCAGAGGCCAAGGAAAGAAGTCCAGATAGTCAAGTGGGCCATCTCAGATCTGGTCTTGGTCGAGCTGGGGGGGTGGTGGGGGGCAACAGACTTTCATCGATCAGCCCTTTTCAACCATTGATCTACTAAACTGGAAACACCCTGAACCCACCGCCTTGCTCCCGACAGCTAGAGCCCTGTCGAGCATGATTGTGTAGAGGTGTTGGACTCCAGTTTACTCTAGCAGATGTGACCTCCGGGACTAGCCTTGGACATCAGTACACTAGGAGCTATGCGTGGACGGGAACAGCTTCACCAACCCACAAGGAGAGACATGTGCAGAATATGCGGTGGTAACCCTGGACGCTGTCGTTAAGCTGGGCTTGTTGCTTTAATCCGGGCCTTAGAACGCGGTGAGGGTAAGACTGTAAACGTTTACACTGACTCTCGGTATGCCTGTTTCACCCTCCAAGTGTATAAAGAAAAGAGCCTGTTAAACTCTAGAAAAGAGGGAAAAGAGCAAAGCAAAAAGAAAGACTAAAAGCAAGTGTAAAGACAGAGAATCAAAAGAAAACAGGAGAGACAGACAGCAGTGCCTGGGTGGAGGCAGGGCCTGTGTCGTTTCTCGGGCCCCACCAGCTGGCCGTAGGAGCGGGAGAACGCGGTGGGGGGGGGAAGGAGCATTGTAAGAGGATGAGGACAGGGATGTAGACATGACAGAAGTCAAGTTAGGCAAGGATTCCAGAGCTGGACAAGGCTAGAGAGAGATTAACGTGCGAGATGGGGGGGGGGGGGGAAGGACACTAGAAGGGTAACTGTTCAGAGGGCAATTCAGGAAATGGCCAAGGCCGCGAGACAAAGAGGCCATCGGCCAAGGGCTGCTGCACCTTGGAGGAACCAGACACTCACTCATCTGATCAGGCTGACAGGAGCTGAAGAATGTAAAGACTAGGGCAGACTAGGCACCTTCTCATTAGGCTCCCAGGAGCCCATGGTCACATTAGAAGTTACAAACAGCAAGACTCTGCCGTATCTGGATTCCAATTTCTTACTGAAGGCTCAGCCACTAGATACAGTGACAAAGGGGCGGAGTGGCGGTGGGGATGGGGGGACGGGGGGAACTCCTCCTCTCAGAAACTTAAACAGGAAAAAGAGCCATACCTTGTGAAAACTTGCTTATAGACTTTACAGAACTGCCCCCTGCTGGAGGCTAGTGCTTGTTTGCACCTTTTCAGGGTAAGTTACAGTTTTCCCCACCAGGACAGAAAAAGTACAAGAAGTGACTAAACTACTGTTAAAAGACATTATCCCCAGGTTTAAGGCTACCTCTAATTTTAAAGTCAGACAATAGGCCAGCATTTGTAGCTGTAGCTGGAATAGTGCAACATTTAACAAGACTGTTAACAATACAACACAGGTTACACGCAGCCTATCGGCCACAAAGTTCAACAAAAGGTGGAACGCATGAACTGGACACTCGAGCGACCAGCTGCTGACGACCAAAAAAAAAAAAAAAAAAAAGGGTCGCTGTGTGTGTGTGTGTGTGTGTGTGTGTGTGTGTGTGTGTGTATGCGGCAGGAAATTCACTTAAGATAGAATCAGGTTTTTGCCTACGGTCCTCCCCCGAGTCAGGTGCACCCCCACCAAACAAACTAGGTATCTGCCCTGTAAGATGGTGTTCAGTTGGCCCCCCGCAAATCGTAGGTCAAATACAAGGTGACCTCCGGAAACTACAGAAATTAATCTTCAAAAGGCAAATGCAGCCTTTCAAAATAGCCATACGAAGTGTTCATAATTAAATAAAGAAAAATAATGCCTATAAGCCTGACACCCATTTACATCTAGTGACTCTGTGTAAAGTAAAACCTAATTTTTCTACAACCCATATAGGATGAGTCCTATACTGTAACCTTGTCCACTCCCACTGCTGTTAAAGTTGCAGGTGTTGCGTCTTGGATCCACCACAGTCAGCTAACACCGGCAGCTCAGGACAAGTGGACCGGCCAACAGGACGCAGATCATCCAACCCGACTGATCCTGAGACGAGACCAAGCTGCTGCTGAGGACCACAAGCCCTGCTCTAGTCACACACCGGCAGCTGACTAGTCTACGCACGGCCGAAGCTTGAGGACTCATCAAGCAAGTCAATGTAGTTTAAAATCTTAAGACACATAGTTTTCCTAGAATACTAACTGTTTTCCTATTGTTCTGTCGCTGTATTCAACCTTTTTCCCAGGTAAGGACCTCTTTTGTCCTTGCCGGACATGAATATGCTATACATTGCTTTGTTGTTGTTACCCCCCCCCCCCCCCATAACCACGCTAGAGGAAACACCTATGTAAGGTGGCCCCACGGTACACGTACTGCTTAGGAAACCCAGACCCGTCCAGCCCAGCAACACTTGCAAGGTCTTTCAGTCATTCTGTAAACATATAAACCAGAAGTTACCAGAACCTCCTCCTTTAGCCAAAAATTTAAAAAAATAATAAAAATTAAAAATAAAAAAACAGAAAAAAACTATTTCCTCAGTTGGCAGAAAACATTGCTGGCAGCCTAGATGTGTCTTCATGTTATGTCGATAAAAGGGCTAACACAACAGACCAATGGCCTGGAGAAGCAGAAGGGCTAATGCCTCAAGATAACTTGACTTCAACCAACTCTTTCCCCAAACAGACCCCGCAAGTTCAAGCGTCTGCCTCGTAAACACTTCACTGATTAAAAAATACTGTTTTACTGGCTAAAAAAAGGTTTTAAGACCCCGTGAAAAACTAACCTGCTTAAGACATGACAGAGTTAGTACAAGTGCCTGTACAGGTTTAACACAGGTTTGATCCTAGGTCTTCATTTAGAAAATAGTTTCCAGCTGTAGAAAATGTAAAACCCTCACTGTAAGTGTTTGATTCGTAATAGAAACTTGCTTGCTGCTCCCCTGTGTATTACACTTGCTCCTTCCAATGACAAAAGGTTTTGTAGCTACCATGGCTCGTCAGAGAACTTCCACACAAGTGTATTACATAAAACGCTATCACTCTGTATTGCTAAAAGACTCAAAAAGTAAAAATGAAAGTGAACCCTCCCACTAATGAGTGAAAATTCTCAAAGTGGGGGATAAGGAAGGAGACCTCTACTACTCCTGCTGCCCTCCTCCCCCCACCTTGCCTAGTTCACAAGACAGGAGGAAAGAGAGAAAGCAAAACGTTAGAAACAAACAAAAGTAAGATAAATAGCCAGACAACCTTGGCAGGCACCACCACCCGGCCGTAGGAGTTAAAAAAAAAAAAAAAAAAAAAAAGGAATACTAATATCATCGACCCCTGACCTAAACTACTTGTGTTATCTGTCAATTCCAGACACTATGAAAAAAGCGTTGTAAAACTTTTTGTTTGTTCTGTTGGCTGATGCAGGTAGACCCCAGTCACGTTTCCCATTGACTGCTCCATTTTATCCACAACCTTTCACGTGGACCCGCGCCCCAAGTCGTAAGCCTTTAAAAATGTCCTTTCAGGGGGAGCTCGGCTCTTGGGGTGCAAGTCTGCCGACACTCGGCCGAATGAAAAACCTCTTCCTTCTTTAATCTCGTGTCTGATGAGTTTGGTCTGTGGCTCGTCCTGCTACAATAATAATGATGATGATGATGATGATGATGATGATGATGATGATGGTGGTGGTGATGATGATGATGATTTATATATTGTATATATAATTATGTATACTTTATATATACACACACACAAGCACACATATAATTATTATGATAATAACATTCGTTGTGGTGAAGGTGATGCACGCCTGTAGTCGCAGCTTCTCGGGATTGACATAAGAAGAGAATCACTTGAGGCCCAACAGGTCAAGGCTTCAAATCAATAGTGACCCACTCCATCCTGGGCAGTCACCCAGTCAGGGGGATATGCCCCCTCCCGTTTTCTTTCTTTTCTTTCCTTTTTAGTTTCTCCTTCCTTCCTTCCTTCCTTCCTTCCTTCCTTCCTTCCTTCCTTCCTTCCCTCTTTCCTTCCCTTCCTCCCTCCCCTACCTCCTTCTTTCTTTCCTTCCTTCCTTCCTTCCTTCCTTCCTTCCTTCCTTCCTTCCTTCCCTCTTTCCTTCCTTCCCTCCCTCCCTACCTCCCTTCTTTCTTTCTTTCTCTTTCTTTCTTTCTTTCTTTCTCTCTCTCTCTCTCTCTCTCTCTCTCTCTCTCTCCCCCCCTCCCCCTTCCTTCCTTCCTTCCTTCCTTGCCTGCCTTCCTGCCTTCCTGCCTTCCTGCCTTCCTGCCTTTCTTCTTTCTTCCCTTCTTCCCTTCCTTCCTTCCCTCCTTCCTTCTTCCATCCCACCTCAGCCTCCCAAAGTGCTGGGAATACTGGCGTGAGGCACCATGCCTACTTGGCCTAAAGAGACACCTATTGAAAGTAAGACATAGACAGCTCCTTGCAGTGATCTGATCGATTGCTTGACTGATTTACAGACAGCGTCTCACTCTGTCACCCTGGCAGTGGTGCCATCATGACCCACTCGCTGCAGTGTGGACGCTCCTGGACTCAAGCGATCCTTCCACCTCAGCCTCCAGAGTGGAGGGCCTGGGACCACGGACCCGCGCCACTGTGCCCAGATGATTTTCAGTTTTTATTGTTTTATTTTTCTTTTTCCCGAGACAGAGTTTCGCTCTTGTTGCCCAGGCTGGAGTGCAATGGCGCGGATCTCGGCTCACCGCAACTTCTGCCTCCCGGGTT